GAATTTAAAACTAAAGTATGACAATTAGTTAGACTCATCCCAACATTTTATTCTATGATCCGTTTCTCTTATTTCCTACTCTCCACTCATGCTTCTCTCACATTCACACTCATTCCCATTTGCTACATATTGTCTCTAACCTCGTTCCCTACGACTAGTCGGCACAGCCCGACACCCCTCTTACTCTAACCTAATACTCCACTATAGGCCCTATCGACTAAAGCATGATTAGTTAGACTCCTCCTAACATTTTATTATACGATCCGTTTTTCTTCTTTCCTACTCACTACACCTTATCTCCACTCATGCTTCTCTCACATTCACATTCATTCCCATTTGCTACATATTGTCTCTAACCTCGTTCCCTAGGACTGGTCGGCACAGCCCGACACCCCTCTTATTCTAACATAATACTCCACTATGGGCCCTATCGATTCCTAGATACAAAACACAAACTCACCCAACACATTCGGCAATATCGCCACTCCAAATACCATAACAACCCAAACAACTAACAACCCTCATAAGTACCACCATTCAGCATGACCAGACTCAATCGTATATTTCCTTTTTCCCATATTCAAACCACCTGTTTTACACCGTACCTTTTTGTGTAAATAACGACCCTTGAAGACCACCCACACACACATGTTCTGTATCCACTGTCTCACCACAATAGTAGACACTCTCATCCAAATACATATCGACCCCTTAAGGGCCATACTCACACAGCCATCGACCTCACACAACCGTGCCTCTTCACTCTACTGACACCTCCATACACCAGCACCTGCTTCACCCCAACCATATCCTGACCACTGAGTGGCCACCTACACATGATGTGCCTCTTTACCCTATCAGCACCCTGTAGACCAGCAAATGCCCAGGCACCCACCGACCACTGAGTTGCCCTGAACACACACACACAGACGTGCCTTCTCACCACATCGACACCCTAAAATCCTTAAGTGTCGGCCAAAGGCCTCGCAAACACACATACCTGAACTAGTAAGTGTCGGCCAACAGATGACCTCATCCCTGTCTGTCTCCTTCACCTCTCGATTTGATCAGTTCTACTCATTCTTAGCAGTCTGCTCTCCCTACACAACCTAACTGACTTCACCTATAACCTTTTCTAATCCTCCTCCTTATGTACTCATTGAAATCCCTAAGTATTGGCCTGCTAGAACTCCCCTCTATCCCTACGACTCACAAATGTATCACCTTCTTCCTTGTTTACTACTCCCAAACACGATTCCACCTCAAAGCACCTCCTTAATCCATATTCCCTATACTTATAACCATAGGTTAACCTGCAATGCAAAATTCAAGATACCTTGCCATAAATCAGTTTTGAAACTCCAAATTCTTCTTACCTCTTGCTTTCATACTCTTTTCTCTCACCAAATCTACCGCGACCTCACCTGTTCTAGAAACTTCTGATCAATCGCCTCCCGCACTCGCCTCCGATCACTCGCCTCTCGCAATTATCTCCCTCTCTCTTTCTCGCACTCTTTGTTTTCTTCATTTCCCTTCTTTCCCACTTTCTTTCCTCTATACGCCCGACGCCTTTTTTGTACCCCACCCAACTTCCCATCCCAACCATTGATTATACTCATCCCATCCCAACCGTCTATCCTACTCCCTTATATATCTAGGCTATTACATTCATCTTATAATAATTTATTTTTAAAATATTATAGTTTATTAAAATTTAAATAAATTACATAATTTAAAAATTCAAAATATTACAATCTTCAAAAATAATCAATCATGAATTTAACTTACCACTAAAATAATTTTGACCATATTGCATATGATATTAACATATAAACTAAATATTTTCTATGACTTCTTCTGATATAAATTTATATTTTGTTCACAATAAAGTAACAAAATATTATTGGTTCACTACGATGTGAAATTTTTATTATTTAACATAAAATTATTAATTCTTAATTAATATACATACCTGTTTAATCTTGTAAACACGTAGACAATATTAAAAAATTACATAGACAAAAATAAAAAAATAATTATGTTTATGTCAAGTAATAAAAAATACCAGAGTCTATTAAACTGTGAAAAAAAAAAATTACGGCAGTAAAAATAAAATTAAGAAAAAACAAAACAGTAATTTACTGGAAAGATAGGCCCTCCTAAACAGTACAGCAAATAAAAGAGAAGAATGATGAGGCCCACGAAAGGTTTGTACTCAAAAGGCTCATCCAAATACACAGTAAAAGTCATTTAACCAAAGCCACGTCAGCCACTGATGATGCGTCAATTATGGGCAGGGGAGCTAAAAGTTGGTGGGACCCATGTCCTGATGATCACATAATCAGACAAAAAATGTGGGGTCAAGGATTAGATTCCACGTGAGTAATGCTGTGGTCGGTCACATAATAGCTTGGTCAATATTTGGGTTTACTTTATTTTATTTTATTTCTTAATTTTTTATATTGTCTCTAACCTTTATTTTATTTTTTAATTCATTCATTTAGCTAATATTTTTAATTCAAATAAAAAATTATATTTTTTCCAGAAAAAAGTAAATAATATTTTTTAAAATTCGTTAATTATTTTAAAATTAAATTAATAATTCATACTAAAATTAAGAAATAAATATATTTTAAATACATTGACAAGCGATAATAAATATCAGACGTGACAATGTTATCCATGACCCCAACATTTCATCATGGTCAATGTGGAGTATAAATGGTATGACATCTACCAAAATTATTTTAAAAAATCAAATATAGATTACAAAGCAATATCTTCACGAGGATTGTTCTGTATACTTTACATATTAGAGAGCAATATATATATATATATATATATATTATATCAAATTTAATATTTGTTTTTTTCTTCGCGTGAGTGGCAATAGTGCATAAATGTATATTATATGATTATGTAACATTAGTTGGTCACGTCGTTGAGAGATGATACATGGAACCAAATAGATACCGCGTGAGGTAGAGATGTACACGAGTGACGGGAGGGATTTCCAATCAGAGTTTTTTTTTTTTTTTAATGTGAAAAATAGTTTATATAATTATTATAAGAAAGAAAAATTTAGGTTTATTTATTATTAATTATTAATTTATCAAGGACGAAAGGTAGAAATTAGAAAATTCACAAAAAAAAAAAAATTTGTAATTTTACATTAAAAAAAATTGATATTTGGACTTGAATTATAAAAAATATCGTGCTTATTAATCGATAAATATATCGAAATTAACTTAATCTTTTGTTAAATATAATTTTTAATAAATTAATTATTTTTTATTAAATTATCGGTTAGTGATTAAATGGGTTTGTTTAATTTAATTTTAATAATAGTAACGTTACGAATGATTAGAATAATATAATTTATTTTTACGAAATTTGGAATGCATTGTTGTAATTCTACATGTATTTCTATATCATATGAATATTTCTTGCTATGTTAATATAATTCTAAAAATTTATAGATGAATTTCATGATTATTTTTTGTATTTGTTCAACATGGCCAAGGAGAGGGAAAACATATATTTTATATATGTTTGTTTTGGTAATAATTACAAAAATCTTATAAGTACTTATTTATGAAGAAAAGGAGGTGCAAGCAAATTTTTTATGCTTCATAATTGAGATAAATCCAATAATCACTCCTCTAATTAAGATAATATAATAAAAATTACAATATCGATAATATTATATTCTTGATTTTGATTTATTAAGATTTTGATCTAAATAAATTTAAAAAATATTAAAAAATTTACTTGTGTACTTAAAAGTCGCAGATATTACTTAAATTTCATTTCTTTAATTCACCGTAATTCATGAGGTAGAAAAATATCACGTGATCTATTAAGTCAAGTATAAATTATAATTATTTTAATTAAAAAATAACAAAACTCTCCCTACAAAAAAATTAAAAAGAAAATTGATATCACAAAATTTAATATGAAATTATATTAGTACATTCAAAATTTGATGATAGAATTTAAAATGCATTTTTCAATTTCACATTGAATGCCATCCCAATACAATTTTTACAATCTTCTAATTAAACTTATAAATGAATTTTCAGAAAATTATTATAATTATTTCAAACATAACCTAAAAAAATTATATGAAGTATATGATGTATTCTCTCTCTACACACGTGTACATGTGAATATGTATGTCTATATATACATATATGTACCCATATATCAACCATGGTGGTGTATAAAGCTCCTCTCAATTCCTTATTTTGAATGCTAACTCAAGTTATACCAAACACAAAACCTACATTAGTATTCTTGAGGTTGCAGTGATCCGAAAGTCTGATAAAAACATCGAACATATTAGTAAGTATCACACGTCTTACCATCTACCTCCCAACAGATCAAGAAAAGAAAACCCTTTACAAGATGTTCAGTCACACGGCTATTTTTGAATGTAAGCAACAAAGATGAGAAGAGATCAGAAAGAAAAAAGAAATCAGATCCGGGAAAAAAAAAAAAGCTGCACGTATATACACGCATAAACAGAAACAAAAACACAAACACAAACACACACACACACACATACATACATATATATCCAGAAGCAAAGTGATCTCATATCAGATATAATAATAGGAAGAAGTAAGCATAGGATCAGTTTTTGGGTTTTGAAAGAGGTTATTGTTATACATAATATGCTGATCCAAAGGATGATAAAAGCATTATCACAAAAACAATCTAAATCAACCTTACAATCATGTGTGTAATTGATAAATTATGAGAAAAACTAAGTACATGTTAGGCAGAAAAACAAAGGAAGATTCAACCCTTTAATGTGCCAGAGTCAGATTTCAGAATTGAAGAAAACATAAAAACCACCACCATTATGAAGATCAGCTACCTCACTACAAAACAAAAAAGAGAGGAGATGATGATCAAACCCATTAAAAGATTGCTATTCAAGAGATAAGAAATGAACAAAAACACGATCATGATCATGATCAATCATCAATATTAAATTGGCTATACAAATTTTGAAGTAGCATTGAGTAAAGAAGATTTGACTAGAAAACATATGTAATATTATCAAACACAAAATATAAAATAATAAATGGCAAAGAGGTGGTATAGCATACAAGAGAAGAATTAGAAGAAGAAAAATCCAATAAGTAGTCCTCTTCTTCTTCCTCCTCCTTATGATCAGTCTTGCCAACAAAGAAGCATAACAACACATCTTCTTATTATGTAAAGCCTGCCTCTTTCTTCTCTAAGGAACCCACCAAGCCCTTTGAAAGAAAGCTTTCTCTTTGGCACTCTAATTGAAGTAGGAACACTTTTCATCTCCATGAATATATATATATATCTTATTTTTCTAAATTCTGGTTCTGAATTAAGGAAAAAGAAAGGGTTGTCCCCCTATTTTCTGAGGTTTTTGTTTTTTGTTTTTTTTTTTCGTTTGTTTTTCTGAGTATTGTGGGGTTTTAAAGGGTTTGTGAAGTTCTGAGGAAAGTGAGCCGTGGAGTGAGAGAAGAATGGATCATTTTTGGGGATTGGGGTGTGTTTGACAGTAATGATTGAGAATTGAATGGAAAAGCAAGGAGGGTGAGAAAGGGTTCTTATAGGGGAAAAAGGTCATGAGCCATGAGGGGATGATCCACAGACTCCTTAGCTGAAGGGTCCCAGTACTCGAAAAGAAAAAGGAATAGGAAAGAAAAATGGGTGATGGAGAGGGATATGTATAGTGTATCCACACCAGTCATTGCACTTTGGGACCCAATTCACTGGCAATCAATATTCTTACAGAATTATTTTGGAATGTATTTTTGGAACCAATTGTTTTTTTTTTTTTTCTTTTCTCTCTTTGATATGGGCAAGGGGAAGTACCTTTTTCTAGTCCATTTTGTAATCCTATACATTCTGTGGGTGCTCTTTCCTTCTCCTTCTCTTTAAGTTTTATTATAAATTTCTGAAAATTTCAATATTATTTTAGGATTTCTAAAATTCATTTATGTGGATGTACTGAAAAAAAAAAAAAAGTACTTATAAAATGTGGGGGAATCTTCCCCAATTGGAAATTTTGAACCAAGGCAAGGGAAGTTGTCATGCCTTTTACATAATATGCCAAACACCAATCGAAAAAGTAAAAACAGTGTATACATATGTTTAATTTTCTTTTTTCAAAAGTAAGGAACAGCCAATGAGTAAATTTTCCACAACCTTTCTCCAAACAAATTTAACTAATAGACTTGATCTAGAAATCAAATCTTGTTTCAAGGTATTTAAATTTTCATTATTTATAAGGATATATCACTCTATTTACTACACATTTTAAATATTTTGAAGTGAAGTATTTTCATTGAATAACATGATAAAAGATCATATTAAATGTATATCAAAAGATAAGATTATCAGAAAACAACAACTCATCTCCTACCATGTCAATACTCAGCCTGCAAATCTTTTTTAAATCTCCATATGTATTTTTTCTCTTACACCCTTCTTCTCCTCCATGAGATGTGCACCATCCACCAATAAACAACTAGACAATAAGATCATAGGCCCCAAACATATAACTCTCTCTCTCTCTCTCTCTCTATATATATATATATATATATATATATCTCTTTCTTTTCTCTTGATCACCAGAATGAGAGAAGTTTCAAACCGTGTTATGTAATGGGTGCATATAATTATAGAAAAGACATAGGCTAAAGAGGTACGGATATGATGTGGGCAAGGGTACACGTGAACATCACGAGACAGACATGGTGTGTGTCTGTGACATGGAAGACAACCTTAGTTTACCATATATATTTTGCTTTCGTTTCAACCACATTTCTCATTTGCTCATACCATTACCTCTTACTTCTGTTGGTGTTGGGTCCTCGTTGCTTTTCTTTTCTGTTCTGTTCTACTCATTTGTTTGGGGCAAGAATGTATAGGCTAATTCTGTTCTTGACAAGTCTACAAAGGTTTGCTAATTAATAATGATTTTGACTGAACATGATCTTGGATGTGATAAACTAATCACACTTCTACTGTGTCTTACCTTTCCTATTAACGTTTTCTCTCTCAAGTTTCATCTACTAAAGCTACTTTGCTTTAGAATATAAATATGTTCTATTTAAAATTACATTTTTATCCTTTATTACACCCAAATTATGATTTTAAAAAATGAATTATATAATATATAATATATAATTAATGAAAAATTAAAATTTATTTTTATCGTATATTTTAAATAAATAATTATTATATATATTTTATTATGTTCCGACGCTCGATATGAGGCGCGATTCTTGTTCATGTTATTTCATTCAGTTGGTCCATAAAATATGTACATGCATAGATTAAAAAAATATAATACAATCTAACATCTTATGTGATATGTACAGTAACTATATATACAAAACATGATGTCAGAATTTAAAATTTTAGATAACAAAATAAAATTTCTCAAATATACACAAAATATACAAAAACAAGAACCTTTTTACAAGTTCTACTCGTCTGGCAATAGTGCTATCTCTTCATTCTCCTATGAAAAGTATTAGGGTGAAATTTAATGAGATTTACTAATTCAATAAGTATTTCTATTCTCTCAACACAAATAAAATTTCATGCAAAACACATAATACGAGACAAATACAATAGTGATGTTTCAATGCAAAATTCATTTATTATTTTTATCACTTCACATTTTTCTGATCGAATTTCTAAATTCTCTTGAATATCATATACGATTCTCAAATATATATCCACATACTCTTGAAAGAACATAGATATACTCGAATATCATTTATCATCTCGAAACATAATCACATACATACGAAAGATCACATATACACTCGAAATGTCATTTCTAAGATTCTATCGCGCGATGTCGTTTATGTCTTCATTGAGAAAAGACGAAATTGATCTCTTCATCGCGTAAATAACACACATACAAATCTTACAATGGCCACAACACATACGTTTGTTAGGTGATCTACACTCACAAATGTCTATCCACGTATGAATTAAGTTTCAGACTCTATCCATGTGCAGGTTCATCATGTTCACTGAACTTCAGCCACACACACACATTCTCCTCATTGATTCAGACTAGACGAGAAGGTATTCAGAGTCCCTACCCTATTCACTCTTACCTTCTCAATCCAAAATTCTTATCTACTTACCTCTTATTCTGTTTTTCTCGGAATTTTATTTAATTGATCATTTCACAACCTCAATTATGAAATGAATGCACTTTTCAAAATTCAAACTCGATTGAGATTTAAAAATACTTACACTCCTACATGTCTTTCCGGATCCACTTGAATGTCTAAATTTTTCTGTACCCACGACATAAATTAATTAAAATACTTCGAAATACTAAAAATTAATTTAATCAAATTATGGGTTCTAATGACTCCCAACAGAATACCCAAAATTTTCGGGATCCCTACCTGGGAAACCTTTCAGCTCCTTATTTCGCGAATCAGATTTTCATTTTTTAATGAAGACTTTTAGCTTTTTGAACGGTGAATCGAATTTTCATTTTTTGATAAAGACTTTTCATCTTCCTGAACGGCGAATCGTAATTCCAAAAGGTGATTACGACCTCTATTCCTGTGGAAGACCTTTCGACTTCCATGATGGGTGAGTTTTCCTCATTCTCGAGGAAACTTCCTTGGTTCCTGCGCGGGTGGGTGGCCCGGCCAACTCGCGCGGCCAGCCCAACATCGTCCCACTCTATCGTCAGTCAAACCACCACTAAAACCTCATAAACAAATAATTTTACCTTCGGTGCGAGCGATTAGCCTCGGCTTGGCTCCCAGTCGCCTCCTCCCAGTCACCTCACGGTCCTTTAGCCCCAAAACTTGCACACACACACATAAACGCTCGTTTAGTCAAAAGCACAAACCGAAAGAAAAAAAAAGAACGCACCTAGCTCGGCTGCAATGCTCAAAAACTCGAACATCCTCGATATTTGTTATCACACGACGTCTCGGGTCGTTTCCTTTTCCTCCTTTCTTTCTACTCAGTTTACATCGTTCTCCCACCTCCGCCTCTCTCTTTCTCACTCGGCCACTCCTTTCTTCTCTTCTCTTCCTTTTTTTTCTTCTTTCCCTTCTTCTTTTCCAGCCTCCATCTTCCTTTCCGCTCATTCTTTCTTCTTCTCGGCTCCCACGCATGACAATCTCTTCTCTTCCCTCTTCTACTCAGCCACTCTTTTTTTTTCCTTCATTTTCTCCTTCTCTGGCCTCCCTCTTCCTTTCCTCTCTTTCTTTCTTCTCTCTTCGCTTCTCCGCGCGACCCCCTCTTCTTCCTTCTCTCCCTGATCGCTCCTCTCTCTTCTTCCTCTCCCTTTTTTGGCTACTTTTCAAAATAAAGAGAAACCCTAAATTTTTTTCTTTTTATACCCCTTCGCCCCGACCGTTAGATCTCGCTAGCTCGATTTGGGTCATCCGTTCTCTATTAAATCTCAATCATTTGATCTTTTCAGACAGTTCGATTTGGATCGTCTGTTTCTTATTTTTTTTGCCTCCTTCCACTTCTACTTATTTATACTTTTACCCCCATTTTTTCTCATTTATTTCATTTAAGTTCTAATTCTAATTTTATTTATTTATTTATTATTATTGTTTTTTATTTACATTTCTTCTCTTTTTTTTCCTTAGGTGGATAGTACAATTCTCTCATCCTTATAAAAATTTGATCCTCCAAATTGACATGTCTCTACAATAAGTGAGAAAATCGAGCTCATATCGAATCTTCAGTTTCCCAAGTAGCTTCTGCTGACGAATGGTGTCATCGGAGTACCTTAACCATCAGAATAGTCTTATTCCTCAATACTCGCTCCTGTTTGTCCAATTTTTCTATGGGCATTTCCTGATATGACATATCTTCTTTAATAGGAATCTTTTCCTATTAGATTATATGCAATGGATCATGATGGTATTTACACAACATGAACACATGAAATACATCATGAACATTAGCCAAATTTGGTGGCAATGTCAATCAATAAGCAGTAGATCCAATTCTCTCCAATATTTTGAATGGTCCAACGAACTGATGGCTCAATTTGTCTTTATTTCAAAATCTCATAAGGCCCTTCATTGGTGATACTTTTAAGAATACATGATCCGCTGTTTCAAACTCTAAACCCCTTCTACGGTTATCTGCATAACTCTTCTGTCTGCTTTGGGTAGTTTGAAGGTTTTTCTTAATTATGACAATCTTAGAGGTAGTTTCTTCAATTAATTTGGGTCCAATTAATTTTTTATCCCCAATTTCTTTCTAACATACAGGAGATCTACAGGGCCTGCCATATAGTGTTTTATATGGAACTGCACTAATAATGGACTGATAGCCATTGTTATAAGTATATTCAATTAATGGTAGATGGTCGTCCCAATTTTCTCTCATTTCTAGTGCACAAGCCCTAAGCATATCTTCTAATGTCTAAATGGTTCTTTTTGTTTGACCATTCATTTGTGGGTGAAATACTGTGCTGAATGATAAAGTGGTGCCTAAGTACTGTTGAAGACTTGTCCAAAATCTGAAGGTAAAACGAGCATC